CATTTGAACAGCAGAGCGGCCAGTGTGACCCAAGGCTTTACATGTGCAAGACGGAGGCTGGCACCGCGCAAGGTATTTTACAGGTTACCCGTACGACATATAGGTGTAATATTATTACTTTTAAGGCGTGCTTCCTATGGTGATATGATAAGTTAAGAATAAAAGGGCTTCGAGATCAGTAATTGCTCCCCGGTGAGGTGTAGTATCTATAATCCCAACGATTTCATCATCTTTGCCGCTGTTGGAGGCGTTTGGATAACAGTACCGACACTATTCACAGAAAACGGATAGTTTCGATATTCCCGGAAACTATAGTGACAAGTGGTGATTTAGTAGTGATGGAACGTGTAATAAAAAATCCTGTAAATGTTCGAATAATTTTACTGAGATGAAAATGAGGATCGGTAAAATTTAGATAATAGCGAAAGACTGAGTTTTATGAATATCACTTAATTAGCATTATTTATACTACTGTTAACGATGTCTGAGGGAGAAGACTATCGATGGGTTGCTAAATGGCCGTCGGTTTACTATTAATGACTTAATAAACGGATACTTTTGAGTTCCTATTTGCACTTTCTATCATGGCGTGACTTGTGTCACGTATACGTCCGCGGGATCTGTGTGGCAAAGAATTCTCAAAAAATGGACACAATCTTTCGTATAGTTTTTTTGGGGGGAAAGAATATGCATTAATGTTTTAAATCATTATTTATTTCCCCCTTTTTACTGACTATTGATGCACTTTTACTGTGTTAAGAAATGACACACGTGTCGCCTTTGTTTCCTTTGTGTGGTTGTCCTGCCTCCGGAGATTGTAATCCTTAACTGTAGATAACCGTCTTTCGTTTTTACTAAACTTGACCATAATGCGGAATCCTGATATCGCACGGGCGTTTGGTGTGTGGTCAGGAACGATGGCTAGAAATACCGTTGCTCCCGCGTGTTGCAATCATTCCTTGTTTTCTACTTCCTGTATTGCAGTTGTTATTTTCAGCGGCTTAAATTATTGGGATGTTTTATAAAAATTCATTAGGGTGTTTTATCAAAATTCGGACGTTTAACAAAATTAATTGTGATTTATTTATTTTTTTATCATAATTGAGGTTTTATCAAAATTAACTGTGAGGTTTTATCAAATTAATTGTGAGGTTTATCAAAGTTAATTGTGAGGTTTTATCAAAATTAATTGTGAGGTTTTATCAAAATTAACTGTGAGGTTTCATCAAATTAATTGTGAGGTTTTATCAAAGTTAATTGTGAGGTTTTATCAAAATTAATTGTAATGGTTGCTTTAATCCTCACCCAATAAAGTGAATACTCATTGGGGATTTTCATAATCCGTGATGGTTTGCAAAAAATAATTATTATACTTTTTATGAGCATGTGTATCGGTAAAGTAAATGTAGATATAAGGATGTAATAAGGAGAACGACATTATAATATATACTATTTTTGTACTTATACTACTACTGTTACACGGCTATTATTGCTTTCGTTTTGATTATTGATATTAACAATGTTTAGTAATTATTGCTATTGTTATTATCAATGTGATTACAATAGCAACTACTTATTATTTTTGTCGATAGTTGTTTTTAGCAATATGCTGATATTGAAATCTTTGATTATCTGACAAGTCTGATTAACCATGGCCACCCAAATTCTATTCAGAACCGTCATCATACATATAATTTTGACTCCAAGGGCGACAGACAGACAGACAGACGCTCTTATCAGCGACGCCCGCACGTAGCTTCAGTAACAATTACAAGCTTCGTTGCCTCTCGTTGCAGCCAAGGATCTCAAGACGTCACCCCGGCGCCGGTCCGAATCTCTGCCCAATACGAGTCCCTCGACCTCAGGACTCCTTCGCCGACATGGCCCCGAAGATCAACAAGAAACTTTTGCCTTTGAAGGTTCACTACTTCCTCAAGTATGGTGGTAAGTGTATCATTCTTTGTTGTGGGGCAACTTATTGCGCCTTGGCCTCAGGGACAAGGAGTGTCAAGGAGGAGCCTTTATCCTGCCGAGTAGCTGTCAGAGGTACAATTACTCCCAATTTAGCTGTTCTTGAGACGTGCGAGACAGGCCGTCGAGAAACGAGCTAAAGTAATTTTTATGCACAATAGTTGACCTTCTGCAATGGTTTCACTCTTTCTTGGCCAGTTAGTGTTAACGAAATAAAGTGAGTTTATAAATGTGACGCAAATGTGTGGCGTAAAGGCGCTTCGGCACTCGAAAAGTGTGATTTCTGTAAAGGTGGCTCAAGTAGGTGATGACTTATTACGTCAAATATGTTTGCATTGTTGAAAATTATTATGGGGGCTATGGTGTGGGTAACATGAAGCTGTTTTTCTTAGAGATTTAAAAATGAGAGAGGCGGGGTAAAGATAAATGCTATGAAATATAAATGTAAACAAATGGGTATGGATTCTTGCGTAGTCTTCAGAATGTTGGAATGTGAAGCAGCACGTGTTTTTGAAAATAGTTTATTCTATTATATCTGATACACGTTAACCACAAATATTTATCGCTAATATATTATAATTTGCATAGTTCTTTTCTCCTGCTCTGAATAATTTTCTCACACGCCACTACATCTTTACAGGAATCGCTCTCCTCCCATTCCTGCCAGTGGTTGTTCGACAGAAGGGCGTACCTGCCCAGGGCGTGGGTCTTATGTGGACCGTTACTCCTTTGGCTTCTGCTAAGGCTGCCATCACATTTGGGGCGCTCGCGGATGCCCTCAAGATCCACCGCGCTATTTTCCTGGTGGGTCTGGCCATCCTCGGCGCTTCATTCACCGCCATGTTCTTCGTCCCGAGCATTCCTTGGCGAGAGATGGATGCTCCTGTCTCCAGCACGGTCGAGCTTCTGTGTAAAGAAGACACCACCTCCCTGGGAATTTGTCCGGGTGCTGGCAAACCCGAAAACTCAATTTTGCCGCTGTTTCTCGACTGTGATTCTAACGATGTCGTTAGTGCAGGCGTGATGGACGAATGGACTTCGGGGAACTGCAGTCTCCAGTGTAATCTGCCGTACTCGCTCGACGATGACAGAGATGATGTGGGGGAAGGGACGGAGATTACAGTGCTGTTGGGCGTGGATCCCCCGCATCAGTTGTGCAATAACGGTACTTGTCTTATGTCCGTTGGGGTCGACCTCGATAAGTACTTCCATAAAAAGAACAACTTGTCCTGTGGCGTGACTTACCATGGCACTTGCCGATACGTGTGCGGCGCGAAGTCTGGCGAGCATAAGGATACCACCCTCACACACCTACTTAAGACGGGAGAATTCTGGCTCATGTTCCTCTGTCTTATGTTGGTTTATGGCTCCAACAGCACCACCACGACTATGGCGGACACAGTTTGCTTCTATTTGCTAGGACAGGATCGCCATAAGTATGGCCACCAGCGACTGTGGGGCAGCCTTGCCTGGGGTATCGTGGGTATGGCGAGTGGCGCTTTGGTTGACCTCTTCTCTGTGGGTCAGCCAAAAGTCAATTATCTGCCTGCACTCGTCATCGCTGTGACGTTCCTAACCCTCAATGTTATTGCCTCCACGAAGATCACGTTTGAAGTGCCGAAGAAGGAGAAGCTGACAGCCAGCACCATGTACAACACATTCTGTTCTCCGAGGATGATTGTGTTCCTGGTAAGTCAATATAGATGGCTTGTGCTTAGTTCATTTGAAATATGTAAACCTGTTGTTTCAATGTAGTAATCCTAGAATATGCTGCTTTAAGGTATTCAAGGAAATGTTTTTCATTTTCTCAATACAAGAAGTGTTTTTCCTTAACTTGTCATTTACAATTAATTAACTTATTTACATCTGTCCAGATGACAGTCCTGGTGCTTGGGATGACAATGGGAATCCAATGGACATTCCTTCTTATTGTTGTGGAGGATGTGGCAAATGTCTGGGACCCAACATTCCCGTACATCAAGTTACTGCAAGGCCTTTTAGTGGGCAGTGACTGCTTCTTAGGAGATGTCCCTTTCCTCTATATTTCTTGTAAGTACCTTTCAAAGTTGGCATCCTCATTTTACATTATTTGTGCAGAAGAATGCTGTACTTGGCAAAAGAAAAAAATGTGTAGCTTCATCAATACCAGTTCATATATATTAAACATTGTTTGCATAATTTATATATCATAAAAATTGCATTATCCAATCTTAATCATTCACCCATTTTTTCCTCCACAGCTTATATCATCAAGAAACTTGGCAACATCTTAACCTTCTTGATGGTGCTTGTTGTGTTTAGTATTCGCCATTTGTTATACTCAGCAGTTGTCAATCCATGGTACTTCTTGCCTGTCAGCCTGCTGCATGGCCTTTCATTCTCAGTGTTTTATCCTAATATGATGTCATATGCAAGTTCCATGGCTCCAAAGGGTGTCCAAGCAATGATGCAGGGTACTGTAAAGTCCTTTTTCATTGGAGGTAAGCATTGGCTAATTCTTTCTTCAAGGATAGAATGAAGACATTTCCATTTCTGGTGATATATATTTGAAAAACAACCAAGGATATACTTATTTCAGAAATTGATCAAAATGCAATAAAATGTTCACTCTCTAAGTACTGGAGTGCTGTTAGATTCTCAATTTGTACTTTCACACTAAATGTCATAATTTAGTTTTCTAAATATAAACTTGTATCTTACAGGATCTGCTGTAGGAGGATTCCTTGGTGGTACACTTATAGAAACAGTTGGTGGCTCCAAAACCTTTCTGTATCTAGGACTGTTCCTAGCTGTGTATACAATGATCTTTGCTGCAGTTCAGTTACTCATCTACAAAATACATCCAGAGAATCCACAAGGTGAGAGAACTCGCTTGCATGTTTTCAGTTAACCATAAAAAATGGAATAATTTATAAAAATAAAGTATGAATAGACACAGTGTTGCATAAAAAATCTTAAATTCAACCCAGTCTAATTGTAATGCATTAAACAGAAAAGATAACATGTAATATCAATATGAAAATTTTAAATGTTTAGACTTATGAATTGCATTAGTCCAGTAAGAACATATATATTGTATTTGTGCATTTTTGCTTCTATATTTTGATAATTGCTATGATATAAACACTTGGGGGCAAGCATTGCCTTAGGAATGCCCTCTCCCAGCCTTAGGAACGCCCTCTCCCAGCCCTATTCCAGATAATATTAGCGGGTCTGACCAATTTTAGTCATTCCGAAGCAATCTGGAATTGATATAAGACCTATTATTCTGTTATATGATAGGAAAGATCCATAAGGAATTGTAATTGTACTTCAATATGCTTTCAATAATTCTTCTGGTCTTGTAGCTTGGAAGCTTGCTCCATTTATATGTAGACATAACTTAGGAGTAAGCTCAAATCTTGCTTTTAGCAACATCAGTTGACAGAAATAATGGTTTCTACTTCACATTATGTTAGTGTAGCTGATTTAGTGACTCCTTTTGAAAGCTTAGGAGAGGCAAGTGTCCCCTGCTGCATCACTAAAATGTCGCCCATAGATATATAAGTAGTATGTATGGTATAAATTTGTAAAATTCGCATTAATATATTTTAACAGATGGACGTGGTGAATACAGTGTTCCTGTCGACAGTCCTATCCAGAATGAGAAGGAAGATGTAGAAGCACAGAACGATCCACAAGAGTTACAAAAGACTCCTTTATATAAGGATGATATAATCAAAGATCCTTTTATTGAAAATTAAGAAAGTGAATTGTGTGAATGCCTAGTGATGCCTTTATATATGTGACATCAAAGTATGTTGTATACTGAGTGATCTCTGAGTGTACATAAATGTTTACTTACTCATCTGTGTACCTGGAGCTTCACTGTGTTGTATGTTTTTTTAAGTACTGGAAATGGGTGATGTGAATATTTTCTGAGTATTTGTGCTTACTCTATTCTGAGTTTTTTATTCAGAAAGAAAACATTCAATTGCTGTGATTTTTGGTCTAAGATATACCATTACCGTATGTGTTGCATATGGTGTTCACCTCAGTATTTGTGATTTTAATGGCATTTCAAAATGACTTAGACTAGAGTGCAATATTAACATGGTTTACTTAGTGATGAACATGTTCACTCTGTCCACTCTGTAAAATGAACAGTTACTTTTAAAATGTGCTGTGATGAACAATCAAACCTTTGCTACTAAGAATATAGTCATGAAAACTACTTTCTTCTTAAAATGTGCAGTGATTCTCATAGTTTATAGTAATTAACAGTAACTATGGTCTTTAAACCTTACGACTGTGATGTCAGTGTACCGGTGAATCGTAACTGTATATCAGTTATGAAAAGTGAACTCTGTAAGATATAATAATGATTGCAATAGAAGAGAGAGTTTGTTATATTTTCTGTAACATCTTTGTTCTATTATCATTTCTATTTATTATTATAATTACTGCTGCTATTACCTCACTTATTATTTTTACTAATGCTACTATTGCAAATGTTACTAATACTGTATTACTGTTTTGACCATGACTTAGAATACTGTTTTTGTCATATAATGTCCTAGTTATTTTTTCTGTTTATTATTATTACTATCACCAGCATAATGATTATTATAATTGTTATTATTACTACTATTATCATTATTATAATCATTATCTTTATTTTAACCATTGTTGGTCTCGTTATTACTCTTCATCCTTTTATTCCTACTACAATTACTATTTTCGTTACTATTATGTAAACCTTCTATACTGTGGTATTTTTATGTTTCATGATCACATGAAGTGGCAATGTAATTATTTTAGTTACTGATATTACCTTTGTATCAGCCTTTGATCTCACTTTGATATCATCTGTCAGTAGTGAACACTTATACCTCGTTAGCCCATTTAACTGTAAATATATTCATGTACATTAACCATTACCTTTATGAGAGCAGAGGATATGAGAGTGAACCAACTGATGTTTTACATCCGAGATATTCTGGCATTAATGTTGGCCAAATATTTAGGCATGAACTAGGATAGATTATATTTTCTTCAAATGGATGTATAAAATATATATTGTATTATGACTTTTACACTTTCTTTATTTTCCCACCATTAATGTTCAGTTGTCTTCAAAATATATGTTGAAGACCTGAGTTATTTCTGTGGTGTCATACAACTGACTTCATTTCATGTCACTCCAACCTTAAATGTTATTCCTTGTTTTAGATAAAGATACAAATGGATTGTTCATCTTTTAAAATTATGGGACATTTCTGCTTTGCTTGTATTTGTATATCATGCGTTGGGTTTCATATAGCCATCTTTTATGAGGCAAATCGTATATGAAAATGACACCAAATGAATCTAAGAAGCTTATCTTTTATGTACTTCTGTCACAAAAGAAAAATAATATTATTTGACAAGGAAGTGTGAGAGAGCCCAATAGAGTTCACAGGTTATACCATTCATAAACTGTGACTTCAAATGTGATTGAAAAATCTTCAGACAGAAATTGTATAGGTATACATATATTTTCATACTCTTTGTGAATAAATTTTTAAACAGAAGCATTAATGCAAAGGTTCAGTTTTGTGTAATGAAGATGGAATTCTACTCTTGTGGGAATTTTAATAGTATCTTATATTCATTGTGTAAGCCTGCTTGGTACACGAAAGATAAATAATAAGCTTTCCAAACTATTGTGCGTGGATTAAAAAAAAGAACAAAGACAAATAAAGTTTCTGCACACGCAGAAACTCCTCTCTCCCTCTCTATCTACTCTCTCCCTCTCTCTCCCTATCTCCTCTCTCTCTCTCTCTCTCTCTCTCTCTCTCTCTCTCTCTCTCTCTCTCTCTCTCTCTCTCTCTCTCTCTCTCTCTCTCTCTCTCTCTCTCTCTCTCTCCTCTCTCTCCCTCTCTCCCTCTCTCCCTCTCCCTCTCTCCCTCTCCCTCTCCCTCTCTCTCTCCCTCTCCCTCACCCCTCACTCCCTCTCTCCCTCTCCCCCTCTCTCTCCTCTCCCTCTCTCTCTCTCTATCTCTCTCTTCTCTCACTCTCTCTCTATATCTCTTCTCTCACTCTCTCTTCTCTTCTCTCCCTCTCTCTATCTCTTCTCTCCCTCTCTCCCTATCTTCTCTCTCCTCTCTCCCTCCCTATCCCCCTCCCCCTATCTCTCTCTCTCTACTTTATGGTTCGACAATTATACATAGTAGTTATTGCTTACATAAACAACGAGCCAGGAGTATAAACTATCATCGGCTTTTACATTTATATGATTTATAGGTACTAAACAGCAAACAAATCTTTTATTTACAAATTCATCAGCCAAGTATTAACGGATGTTTTGGTGATGTGGTATTGTGCACCTGTGTGTGCTGTACCAAGTGGTTCTACATTCCTGTGTATTATGACAGGAGGAAATGCAAAAAGGTTTTGTCCTGGCGAAGTGCACTTCGATCTGGTGGCAACGCGTAGTTGTGTCATCTTACTCACGGCTGTCGGACAATGTGAGAGGTGCATTATTCCATGAGCGACTGGACTGGGCTGCACACAGAAAAGAAATACCCCGGGCATCCAGGAGGTGACGGATGCGCCGCACACAGCTTAGTCTCCATGCGACTTTCTTGGCAACATATTAAAGGTGATTGGGTATCTTTAAATTCCACGCCCAGGATGGTGATGGATGACTGAGTGGCAGTGCTCTCCCTTCCAACAAATGGATAAATGGTGCGCTGATGTCGAAATATAAGCATTAGTTATGCTTTATTTGGGGCTAAACCGATTTGACAGCGTCTACCCCATAGGACGACTATTTAAAGAACATGTATGGCGGTAGCATTATAATCGCCATTGTCACAGGGAATGTAAGGATGCAGTCGTCAAAACAGGCATGTGCCTGTGCATGTCCCAGTATGCACTGCTCCAATGTTCCTTGCCAATGCGGACGTTAACAGACAGCAAGATTGAGCTGTGGTGCTGGGTCAATTTGCTTTGAAGAACATCATTTCTAGGTGATCGGGAAGAGCGACGTCTATTGGGGAAAGGCTAGACTTGCGGGACACCCACCAAAGGTCCCGTGCTTCTTGTCACGTCGATGCCACATGTGTCCCTGCAATTAGCTATAATTATCAGGGAATGACTTACTTAGGAAGGGTTCTACACACGATATTAGGAGTGTGTAAGTTCACATGGCTGCGAATAAGGCTAATGTTGGCTTGGAGTCCTGACATATATGATAATGTAGTCATGGACTAGCACCCTAGGGCCTGGGTGGTTAGCATGTCAATTGATAATTTGCTTGTGTTTGGCAGGGGTGAAGCAGGAAAGGCTGTGCTGTACTAGGCGTTTGGCATGGTACTTTCCAGCTGCTAATGTAAAGATGAGCAGGCACAGGAGCAAAAACCCGACTAAGTGTATGGGCAAGTAAGACTTTTTTTCCGTTTGTTTTTTGTTTTTTTTTCGGGGTGGAACAGAATTACCTTGAAAAGGTTTAAATAACTGGATGTGTTTCCTGTTTTTTTTTTTTTTTTTTTTTTTTTTCCCTCTGCATTCATATTATGCCTCAGGGGAATGGATGACTCGTCGGCTCCAGCTGAACCTGATGGGGCGAGGATTCAGCAATCGTGGGCTGAGAAGCGTGGTGAGGGTGGGACAAGAGGTCATTGGTGATGGAATGCAGTATGCGAGGTTTGCCTGATGCCCACCAGGATGCTGTGCCACTGTTAGCAGGAGTGTGCCTGTTCCACTTTTCGTTAATTTTGTGTGCCCTAGCGGAAGAAGCACTAGATCTTGCACGAAGGCTTGACCTAGTCCAGCACAGTGGTAACAGCATCCCTCTTCTCGAACAGTGTTTGAGAAGTGATCTCGATAAAGGTTAGGATGCTGTTCCTTGCACGTTTTTAACTCAACTTCCGAATAATATCAACGAGTTCCCTGGACTACAGTTGGAGAGGATCCTCGCTGCCTGGGCGTCTCTCTCTCTCTCTCTCTCTCTCTCTCTCTCTCTCTCTCTCTCTCTCCTCTCTCTCTCTCTCTCTCTCTCTCTCTC